ACACAAGTTATCAGAAATAGGTTAATTTCTAGCAAGCAATGGAGATGAAGTAAGAATGTTAAAATTCTTAACTTTTACATGTTCATTTTGTGCTGCACTTCTGTGAAATAAATGTGTACTAAAACCTTGCTGACATAAAAATGATAGTCTACTGTTGAAGAAAATGTAGCTTTATCTCCTTATACAATTAAATATACGTCATATTAATAAACTTTCAAACAAATTCGCCTATCTCACTGCTAACTATAAGGAGTAATAAAGGTTTATTTATAAGTCCAGTATAGGGTAAATATGAAAATCATCTAAAACGTTTTGTTTAAACTCCCTCCCCCACCCCCATTAAAACCCCTAGAGTTCGTAGATATTATGCAGTAATCCCTGTGTCGTCTTGACTTTACAGTGTTCATTCATCATTCTAAAGATCTTTCGGAATTACAAGTTTGTGAAGAAACAACACAGGGAGAGCAATATTTTGAAGCAAGTAAAAAATGATCAGGAGAATTCTTGTTTGTTACTTTGTATGGCGATCAAGGCTGAAATTGCAAAAAAGAAATTCAAAGTTAGAGACTTCGCTATGATACTGTTATACACTCACAAAATGGAGGGATCATCAGAACAGTGGATGTATAACCATGAGATTCGTGATTTAAATAGATCACATTGTATTGTCAGGACAGTGAAATCAAAACAGGCGGAGAAAACTCTTGGAATGTCTTCACCTGCTACATCTTGAAGCTGATGGCTCTTGGAGAAGAAAGGTTATGAGGATATGGAATCAATACCCAGACAGCCTAAAACTTATTTTTGGGTTGTGACACAATATAATCTAGGTGGTTACCAATATTTTAGGGAAATATACTGTGTCAATCTTCACTGTAGAAGGAAATGCGACCCTTATTAGAGCCACTGCAGAGGAAGACAAAGTCAAGATGAAGTTTATGCCTGTCCTAACAGACAACCTTCTTTTGTCCCTCAGGGTCTTAATGAGAGGTTACCATGACCTGATTATGAAGAAACCATTTGTCTTGCTCATGTTGTTAAGGTGGAGCTCAGTCTCCGTTACTTGCCTGACAATCCAGTACATGCATCTGGATTTCTGGACATGAAAATTGTATTATCTAGAAGACTATGATAATCCAACTTCATATCATGTTATGGAATGGCCGATTTTTCCAAATGGTTGAACCAGATGTGCCTATATGTTTCTTGGCTCTGGTTCTTTCTCCCTCAGCTGGTCATGGAAGCCTCTCATTCATACAATAAAGTAATGAAAGAAGGATCTCTGCAATGCCAGGGCACAAACTTCATCCTGACTTGGAATTCCTCTCTACTGGCACTGAACAGAGCCTTCTTTCTAGGGCACTTCCCTGTACCCATTGGTCCAGACAACACTCAATCTCCTCTTACCATCTCTGGCTTATGATTGGTCAATTCTTTTGCTCACTTCCACTCTTCTTATAATACATCCCAGCTCAATTCACTTCTACTCTGAGTATGGAAGGAGAACATTGCTCTGAAAGTCTTGAAGCACTTACAAGACTTCATGGTGTCAACTTAGAAAACCACAATCTGAACTTTTACCATAACAGAAACAAAAAATGTCATGAAACTTACCTGTTTGTACTCCTGATGTTGATTATATGTAGCACAGTGATAGTAATCGATAAACCAGAATCAACAAAATTAGATTATTCTTATTCACCAAGAGTTTTTTAACTTTTCCCTGCCTATGGAACAAGTTCTTTTCCTCCTGCCATGATCTGGCTAATACTTTGACATACTGGTTTTGTGTACTATTATGCAAAACATTTGATTTTCAACATTTTTTGGCTATATATTTTAGCCACAAACAAACAATGATTTTGAAGAAACAGTCTGCAATTCCAACACAGCCAATGGCAAACAGGGTCAAAAATCTGTACAATACTTGTTCAAAATTTGTCTTGTATGCAACAGAAAGACTTCTTTCATGATTTTTTTCTTTCATAATAAATTCAAAATAGTGTTCAGTTACCTTACAGCCACTGAGAAGGGCCATGTCAACATCCTGTTGCTTCACGCCCTTTTTTGGTAGGAATCGACGAATTACAGGACTAAGAAGCATGGGATCCAGAGAAGCAGGGTCAGTTGGATTTGTAAATAAACTTGTGACAAGTGCCACGGCCATCGACACAACAGCCCCCAGTAATGTGTACCACAGGTAGGACATCCGATACAGGACAAAGACTTCACTGGAATATAAAACAACATGTCTTGTAATGTCCAATGCAGACTGTATGCAAGCAAATATAATAAGATTTTATGACAAAAGTGTATTATTATTGTTAGAGTATTTTCAGTCATCCTACCAATTCTCATACCATGTAGCTAAAATTGACAATCACAATTTAACCAAGTAGCTTTTATTATACTTTGTCAACCATACTTAATTTGTATTCTCAACAGATGCATTTTGATCCTTAATAAATCACCAACACTCTCCATGCTATTGATCATTGTCTGTGAAACTTGTTAGCACAATGCAGAACAAGGCTCATACACATTTGAGCTTTGTACTAATAATATCCCCCACTTAATGGTACCTGCACCTTGTCGTGGTGGTGGAGCTTGAGTACCTCAGTGACCCCAAGAGCTACTGGTAGGGCCTCCCTAGCCAGATTTGTCAAGGGGAAAAGGTCAGACTAAGACAGGTACCCTGGTCCTCCAGGTTGGGGGTTGGTCGCAAGGCTAACAACCTTGCACCGTAAAAAGGAAGATGTTTCGAAACCTCGATCAAAGCCTCGGACAGATGGACCTAACAGAGGACCGAATGGAAGAGGAGAATTGAGGAGGCCATGGACCGAATACAGACCGGAGAGCCATAGAAGAAGAAGAACTAAAAATACCACACCCAAAGTGTTTGAATGCATGTAATTCTTGATCCAATGTCATGCTACCACATGTGTTTATGTGATGAAGGATATTTCATGCATTTGTTGTAACATGTGAAATAAGTACATTCTCCCTCAGTCAAGTATTTCACATTTCAGGAACGTTGGAACGTTGATCATATACATACTGGGAATTTCCTAACTGGAAATGTGCAAAAACACATGTACCAGTAGGTCTTTGTGTTAGGTGCCAATCATTATAGTCCGATCTTAACTAAAATTGGAATGTACTGGCAAATTATAATACAACTCCCTGATATCAACTTTAATCAAAATCCAATCAGTAGTTCTCTCTCAAGCATTACATGTAGACAGACAGTCAGCCAGTCAGTCAGACTGACAGATTGACAGACATGATAAAACTAATAAATGCATTTTTACAACTTCTAGTTGGGAATGTATCTAGAAGTTCAACATAATATTCCTGAAGCAAAACGAGCCAATGGTAAACTGGTAATCCAAAGGTTTCAGAATAGAAATTTGACTGATTACTGGTAATAACATGGTGCATGGCAGTAAACAGAGTCAAAGAAAATGCTAATGGTAACAAGATTCTTAAACTCACTCTTTGTGTTGTTCCACAGTAGAGTTAATTGCTGGAGTTGGAGGTGTGACAAAACTATAGGTGCAGCCTTCAACTGAGACAGGTTTTGTCTCAAAACTGATGTCACCTGAGGCGATAGCCGCCTGAGTTCCTAGGCATACCCAGGACATGAAACCCAGACAAGCCACTCCACCAACCATTGCACCCTGAAACACAATGCAGATGACTCTATACAAATAATGAGATGTGTATCAGAAGCAGTAACAAAAAATTCCATCTGCATTAGCGTTCAGTACCTCTTCACATATAGAGAATATTTGTGTGTTCTATTCAGTAACAATAATAAATAGTGATTGCTTCCCTGGAAAGACTAAACAAACCTTGAACACTTCAGTCAAAGACACATATGAGAAAAAGTGCTAATGAAAGAACTGCACACAAAGAAATCGCATTAATTTTTTTCATCGACTGAAGTGTATCGCAAATTTTCTCTGATTTTCAGTTCCAAATTCCAAGAGACTGATGTAATCTGAAGAAAACTACTTGTGGCCTCAAACATTAATTGACAAAGTTAACATGGAAAAACATTCATTGTGATGTTCAGATAAAAAATAGAGTCAGACAGACTAAGAAAGTAACAAATTCTGAGTGTGCACATTGCATTTTAATTTGAAATCTAACCACACTAGGACATTCAGTTCTTCTAATGGGCATCAAATCAAATTAATAAAGATGAATTGAAACAATATCAAAAATTAAAATATTTTTCATGACTGTAGAACCTAAGTTAACTTTGTTCACTTACTGTGTATGAAGATAATCAACAGTAAACATAAATTATTCTTTCTTTATATTTTGTTTAATGTGTGCCATACCATCAAAAGTTCAAATAAATATCAGAATTCTTAATGAGTTCAATATTTCGTCTTGAACAAAGTTTTGTGTACAAAGAAGTATTTCTAAGAATTTGGTAAGTTAAATTTCAGCTTCAAGTAAAGCAAGATTTATAAGTTAGTCAAATGCAGACCTAAATTTGGTTAACAACTTTCAGAATAAAGCCGTAATATAGAATTTAAATGAAATCTCTCAAGTGGCTTGGAAGCTGAAATGTGAGGATAACAAATGTAACCTCTTCATTATACATTTACTTTATTTATGAAAGAGAGACCAGAGAGAGAAGAGGGTCTATTAAGATTTTAAGATTAAGATCAAATACAAAAGCTATAAATAAATCCTCTGAAGTTTAGAACTTACTTTAGAATTAACCCATGGTAAGAAAAGCCCCATGCTGAAAATTCCAAGAGAGGCACCATGGGTAATACCACTTAAACTCATGGACATCTGCAAATGAAGGGACAAAGCTTCAATTACAAAGTGCCTCTGGTTCCAGGACAGCCTGCAGTATTTCTGTGAAATGTCCTCACCTGCAAAACACCTCCCAGTCTCTCCACAACAAAAACAAGTGCAACACACACAGACCCCACCACCACAACAACAGTCTTCAACAGAATGTCAGTCTGTCGTGGAGATAGCCTATGGGTAAACCAGGCTTTATAAAAGTCTTCCAGAACAACAGCTGCCATGGAATTGAGGCCAGTTGACATAGAGCTACAATAAAAAGACAGCAATGTTCACTGAATGTTTAGAAATAATTAAGGACAAAGTTTCAAGAATTGTAAAAAAAAAATAAAGGACAGATTTGGTTAGCCCATGAATGACATAGTCTCAGGTCAGAAAAGGTTTCTTGTCTTCTACTCCAATTCAAACCTGTCCAAACTTTTAGGTCCCCAAGCCACTTTCAAGCATTCGTATGCTGAGGCTGGCAACATATAATTTCAATGTTACAGTATGTATGATAAAACAAGTACACAGCTTTGATGAACAGAATATAATGTCATATTACAATTACAATTACACCTAATACAATGAATGAGCATTTGGAAGTTCTACAACAGAATCAAGTATTAAAATGCAATGCGAAACCTGACTGTATTTCATCAGCCAGAAGGAACATACTCAAGTCCAGTTAAGTTGACATATCTGTATTTTAATAGTTTCACTAAAAAAACCGAGCAAGCATTCAGTAAACTCTGGTAAGGATCTTATATTTCTATATTTTATAAATATTTTCTATTTTCCAAACTCTTTCTCATATAAATAATTAATAATTCGAATGTCAATTAATTGTTTCACAGACTACAGAACGACTGATCTAAAAAATACAAAACAAGACGAACAACAAAAAGAAACAACCTACAAAAACGAAAACTACAAAACAAACAAATCAATGATAGTTGCATTAATAAATATACATTAGTTTTAAAGACGAAAATAGCCTGAAGATGATGCAGTTGCATTGAAACATGTTGTGAAATAAAATAATGAGCGCTAAAATTGTAACATCGTAATAGCGATGATAAGCGCCAAATTTTAAAGTTTAGCTTTAATAACACCAATTTTAACAACTAAGTTTGTGTATTGACGGAAATAAATAAATATATTACTGAAACTTTATTCAGTATTTTCTTTTTTTTCACAATAGTAATAATAAACATAATCACCATGATAATCATAATTTTGTAAACATTCCTCACCCAGTAACTTCAATGTGTAGAAACACATGTAGTCTTTATGGAGACTGCAAATTACTGTTATTAGATTTTAACCAAAATTGGAATGTGTCAACGAATTTTTTATAAACTTCCTCAATATCAAGTTTCATGAAAATTTGTTCAGCCAATCTCAAGTTGTTGCATATGGATAGCTGGATGGACCAACAGACAGGGCAAAGCTAATGGGTGCATTTTTGCAGTTTCAGTTGCAAACACACTTAAAAATGAAATATTCAGAAACATTCACCTGAGAGCAGCACTGAATACACCAGCCACAAACAGTCCTGGAAGACCCGGGAGGTCCTTAAGAGTATCCATCACCAACAATGGGAGTAGCTGATCCTTTGCTGCTGCTAACTGGAATCATGCACCATAACTTTGTAACATCACATCTTCAGAGTTTGCAGAATAAGATTCTCATGCCACATGTCAGTGACAATTTGAAACATAAAGGCTACATTGTCATTTGAAAACTTTATCTGTTTACTGGCCACAAGTGATGCCATATTTTCTCATTTGAGACCTCCAAGATACAAAGAAGAAAGCTAAAGACTCAGCCACAACATTTGATGAGGATAACATTAAGATGGATCTTAGGGAATTAGGTTGTGCATATAAGAAACGGATGGAAGTGGCTCAGAATCATACCCATTGATGGGTTTTAACATCAGCAGTGTTGAACCTTCAGTCTACTATCAGAGTTACTTAGATTGGAGCTAATCACATTCTTATTTCTCTAGTCTGTGCTTTGGTAACTTTATAGGTGTGATTATACCAGAAGCTGTAAAACTGACAAATTGTATTATCTCCTTCATTCTTGGCTAAGAATAAAACTTATGTAAATTTGTCTGTAATTGTGTATTACTTCCAAACTGGATTGAACTAGTTTAGGACATGATTTGATGCTGGAAGTTTGTGATTTTTATGAAAATTCTCTTACTTCTCTGAAAAGAGGGAATTTCTAAACTATAAGCTCTCCAAAGAAGGCCCTGTTTCATGGAGTCAATAAGATTCTTTATCTGTAAGATTCACATTAACCTCAGAATTTTAACACAAATGACATAGGCCTACCTTTGTAGTGAGAGGATCACACTTATAATAGGTAGCAAATATCAGCATTCCACTGTAACTGCATAACAGAATAAGGCCTAATGCCCCCACAACGAACACACAAAGAGCACTGAAATCAAATGGAACAAACTTCAATATTCATATCACTTACAAATTTGAGGACTGTCCTCGTAAGTCACATGCTGCAGTTGTGTGTGCAAAGCTGTTGGCCATGTCCAAACTTACAGTAATTTACCTATACATCTTCAAATGAAAGTCAATATGTAATATATTTAAACTCAGTTGAAAATTTATTCACTTCTTTCTGCAACAATATTTAGGAATAGATACTGAAATATCAACAGCATCATATCAGATGCAGACAACCACAAAAATTCAACATAGAAAGTTACAAATTACACCAATAAACTTCATTTTGGAACAAAGTACTTTTCCAGTTTTGACACAGGAAAATTAAACTGTGGCCCAGTAATGCCAGACATTATTCTTTTTAGTTTCTCATTAACTGTCAAAATTTAGTCTAGGTCCTCACAACAAAAATGCATCTTATTTATAGAACAAAGAATACAGTGTCTCAAAAGCATGAACAGGTCCTGTTTAGAACATTCAAACATTCTCCCAACTAAAATAGTCTGTGCAGTTGGTACAGTGTAATTAGCCCTCTTACTGTCAAGAATATTCTAAAGAGTGTTTCAAAAAAATTAAATAACAACGCAGGCAAAGAAGTAAAATGTGTTTAAAATTAAATCACTCAGCATTGGCCAGTTCATGCTCACCAACTTACATTCTGGCAGCATGCAATGTGGGCAGGGTGAGGTAGCGCTGAAGCATATTCTGATTCACAGCACTTAACTGCAGCCAGAAGAATCCACCTCCACACATCACAGTGAACAGGGAATGGCGAATGTTTGGATCCAAGCTTAGGCTGTTGGCAGCATAGTATCATGCAAATAACCATTCCAGACAAGGGTTCTGCAAAACGTTTGCATGAGAATGCAGCTCTGGCAATAATTCAAAATATTCAGAGAATTTGTGATGTGAGAAACATAAATTATCCTCTTTTTAATCCAAAATGTAATAAAGAAAAATATTTCTCTTTTAATTCATCCTCGTCTTTCTATTTACTGGTACTGTCCCAAACCTGCCATGTTTTGAGTCCTTATATATATCTGTAGCTATTGGTTTTTGTATGATATTCTATCAGTATTTTTTGAGGCCAAAAGCATTTTGAAATTACATTTGAATTAATTAAATCAATCCTATTCATATATGTTCATATATTTTGATGCAAATCACAAGATGCAACGTCCCTGAATATTCTACCCAGTGTTTTTAAAACGCCTACTACAAACCAGAGAAAACCACACCAACTCCAAAACAGTCAATGTTCATAGTATTGTAAATATATGAACCCCCTTCACAGCAAATTCTAATGCTACAGGCTGTTTCAGAAGAACTGAATAACAAAGGATAAAATCAGAAAATGTTGTAAATAAAATACCTTATATGACTGTGCCATCTCTTAACAATAAATGAATTACATGCAATTCAAAACAAGCCTCTGAGTATTAACCTGACTGAGTCATAACAAGCCTAGCTGAAACCATTTCACCAGGTTAATCAGCTCATCAACACAGAAAGGGTAATGTCTTTCTCTCGCAGAAACACTGTAGCTTCAGTAACGTCATGCAGTCTCCTGAACTCATGACTTACTTCTTGGCCTTTTCAAGTGTTGGTAGAGCCAGGTACCGCTGTAACTGATACTGATTCATTGCACTACCCTGCAGCCAGTGTACAAATCCTCCAATCACCAACACCCATACAGTGTGGCGAGTTACAGGGTTCAGGTCCCAGCTAACAACATACCACACAACAATAACGTTGCAGCAAGAAACATTTATTGAACGCTTGCCATTGGTGTGGCATTCTTGAGGATTCAGAAGAATAAGATCTGTACTCAAGCTAGAAGTACATATGAAGATAACTGTCTTCTGTGTTATAGCATCATATAGCCTGGCAGAAGTTCCCCATCAGAGGTGCTTGCTGCCTCCATCCTTGCCCTGATGATGGACCTCTGAAACACTGGTAAACTTCTACCAGACTGCACATCACTACAACCCAGAATGCAGCCATCTTCATACTCACTGTCATGAAAACTTAAACTCCTACTTAGAACTACATATGTCCATAACATAAAATAATACATGCATAATTTTTAGAAGTATGAAGCTCCTACAATTTCACTTGGTGGCCTTGTCAGCGAAGCATCAGGATCATGGGATCCCCAGTGCCTTGATGATTGAACTGAATTTCATTGACATCTATAGTACAGTTCAGTTCACAGATGGACATAAACGAACACTGACAGTATGTGACTGAAGATGTATTAGGTCTGTATTAGCCAGAATAGGATATCTCTACTGTAAACCTTTGGTCTCGATTAAAATGTGACAACTACAGACTAATTTAATTTCTTAGATGTTTAATTGTAAATCCTTATGTATGAAGATGGCTAAGCATCAAAACTGTTTACAAATAAGTACATTTGTGTGCAAATAAAACTACGTTAGTTCTGAGTAAAATGCATGAACACTATGTTAGGACATTCATCATGTGCAGACTTCTCTGATTATTTGGTGAAAGTAGTGTGAGACTGCAAACTTTTTTTAAAATTAAAAAGGAAAAGTTCAGTCAATAAATGCTGTAGCCACAGTGACATGAAGCATCACTACTGAAAATTTGTATAAAATTCTCACCAGTTTGGCATTGTGTGATGCTGTGTGTCAGATTTAGCTATTTTTATTAAAATTATAAAAATATGAAAAATCCTTGAGGTTTGCATGAATCACAGAAAGACATACAATGGTTTCAACTGCCCCCCCCCCACTCTTGTTTAATCAAATTTAATAAAAAGAGAAAATATGTGCTAATCAGACAATCAAAATTTAAGTTAACAGCAACATTTTCTTGTGAATCTTAATAAGACAATTTTTTTTCATGAAAATTACCTAGAATACTCCCGTGCTTTCCTACAGGTGATTAATTATGTGCCATCCTGCATAAATTGTGTATATAATTTTATCTGATTATGATACAGAGATATATTCTTCAGTGATATTTTATTTCCTGGATTACTGATAATACCACCTTAATTGTCAGGAACCGATAATTATTACTATATCACCTAAAGACTACTCATACAATTATTGTGAATGCAGTACTTTGTGACAATGAACAAAATATACAGTACTTTACCTTCAAATATATTCTACAGTTGATAAACTTACATTGGAGCTTCAATGCGGCCGCTGTCATAGTTCCGTTCCCAGACAACACTGAAACCACCCACATCAATGGTCCCCTTAATAATGATCAAAACCATTGCTCCAAACATGATCAATGTCTGAATTACATCTGTCCAAACAACAGCCTTGAGACCACCCTGTTAGAAGAGGAATCAAACACTGTTGTCACTGAATTTGACAAACTTTACCATTCCAGCAACCTCTCATGAATAAGCACTATCCCTATATAAACTTAAAATCATAGTTTTGGAACCATTGCTACAAGATACAAGCATTTTCAAATTAATCTTTGTTTTGTGTTCAAGTCTTCTTCGACAAATAAGAGCGGCAGTGTCACTTACCACACATGTATAGAAGATGCAGACAATACAGACAGCAGGCGTAATTACATGCACATTGATTCCAGTAACTGAAAAAGAAACCATTCATCTTCCTGAGATTGCATTTCACAGAGAGTGTTAATGAAACTCATTCAACTATTATACTCACCCTGATTAAATGCCAGTGCAGGAACATATATTACAATTGGTAGCCATGTTACCTGAAAGAGTATAATAGAGCATTAGATAATAAACTGTAACATACATCAGAGTTATATATCTCCAACAAAATGACTCACTACTGCAATTAGAAACTAAAAGAAGCCATAAACACTCATCTTGCCAAGACAGCACTGAAAAGGCAACAAAGAATCTGTTACAAATGTTCCTCTTTACAACCTCTGCCCTTTCCAAATTGGCACAAAGAAAGCCTTCAAGATGAAGATTTCAAGAGTGAGCAGCTAAGTGATATTATAATGAACCTAGTAATAGTCAATCTACAAGACAGTAGCTCACAGCAGATAATTCAGACATCGCTTATGAAGACAAAATTCCAGACAGTAACTTTGTCCAAGATTTACACTCAGAATCAGTAATAAATTACTGCAAGTAACTTTGTTTTTGATAATGTGACCTGCAATCCATAGCTGCAGCCCTTGAATCCTCATACAATGGGTATCAAATTATCATATATGTTGTAGATTTGTTGATTCAAAATTGATTCTTTGTGTGCAAATAGATTCAACAAAAAATTTACATTTACTAAAAACCAATGTTCTGGTACCATTGCATGTTTTGTGTTTCCTGGCTTCCACTCTTTATTTCATTCAAAGATGCGGTACATGTGATTGGTGCATGCTCAGTCACTAATTATAGTGTTATAATTAGAATGAGCAATGATACCTACAAGTCCAAGAGAGAACAAGAAAGAACCGAAGAGACGAACATGTTTGTTGAACCTCCTCTCCAGGTACTGCAACACACAAATGACAGAGCACATTAAACTCGATTCTGACTACTCGAATACTTTCCTCTGAAGAGCTATATATGTCTTTAGAAAAGAGTGTGAGAAATCAGTTTCTGACTTGGCAGACTCCACGTATGTGGTCACCCACTAATTAATCTGCAGAATTTGCAAACCACAAATCCCTCTGTACTATGTACATACATGGAAATACCAAATAGTCAATCACCATAACGCATGGACAGTACACTCAGCTACTCACAGATTAGTCACTCTGAACTATGTACAGATGTAGAAAGATCACCGATCAGTCACCTTATTCCACACATAGCACATTCAGTGACCCACAGGTGAGTTACTTTCCACCACGTACCTTTACAGGAAGTTTGAAAGGTGAGCCATCCTGGTACAAACTCGCTAGGTAATTTGAAAGGAATTATTTTACTACCGTTCATTAATGCAAAACTACAACTTTATTTTGTTGTTTACGAGGAAAGGGGCAGGGACTACAAAGCTACATATAACGAAACATTATTGACCCGAGTTTACTGCCAGATGTCATTTTGATGTCTGCAAAATATTTCAATGTTGTGTTTACCTCATATGTAGATATTAACTGGAGACTGTGAAACACTGGAAGATAGGCAGAGCCCATTATCACCCCCATCGCAATGACGCCCCCTGCTATATAAACATATTGTATCCCGTAGACATAAATCTCTGTGGGAGTCCCCAGTAGCGTAATGCCAGAGATGAAACTGCAAGGAAAGTCAACTAATTAACATACATGGATACTTATATCTAATGCTAAGCAACTAAATGACTGACTGATGAGCTGACTCTCTGACTGAATGACTGACAAACTAATTCTGGTAATGAATTTTAATGTTATCCTCTTTATTTTCATATTTTCAGTCTTTAAAATAGCCACATATCATAAGGTTCTTCATGCATTTTACACTCCTCCATCTGTGCTACAGAATCAAATGTAGCATCCTTGATTTCACTGCCCTAATGATGCCAAGTGACCCTTACAAATAAAAATATTGCTCATTATGTAATCATCTCCATTCCCTACTTACCGACCATTCTTTTATCCAAAACCTTCTCATATATTTGTTATAAAATGCTTCTAATTCAAACTATTTGTTTATAATTCTGTACGATTCCTTGTTAAAGAAGAGTCTGCCAAACAAAGACAATTTCAAAACAGAGGAGTTAATGTTTGACACATTCTACTGACTGAAGTACAGCTCACAGGAAAGATAAAAACTCACAATTTAGATTTGAAAGACAATGGGTCCAGAAGCCAGCTGTAACCTACCTAGCAATCAGTGAAAGAGCCACTGGAAACGTCTGCATATTACGTCCACCCATCAGATATTCTGCTTCAGACACTTTTCCAGCACAGAACCCATAATAAACTCCAATTACGGCACAAATCAGAAGCATTGAAACAAACACAGAGTAGTCGGCCAGTCCGAATCTCCGCAGGGCCATCCCAACATCTTCCATCGAGCTGTTTGTTACATCCATGATCCTCAGAACTGCAATCTGCAAACGCATAAAACAAAAATTTTAATGTTTACTGGTCATTTAAAATAACGTTACAAGAATTTTGGTTTTAAAATTCCCTCCGCGCCGTACACAATGACCATACTGCCATGACTCGGTATTTGTACCCTTCTTTATGAAAATACTGTCACAGAGGCCTCGGTGAACCTGGGTCAAGACGATAACTGCAAGCATTTTAAAGTAATATCCTGCACGTTTGAAAACCACAGAAAACACGTTAAGTGAAAGTGACAAGGAGTACAAATGGTTACAAGTAATCAAGAACACACAGACATATCACTTCTCCCTTAAATTTCGTTAAATATTTCTGTACTAAGCCATAAGGAACCGCAAACATTTTGGGACTCTAGTTTTCCAAATTTTGAAATGACATAAAATGGTTTCACAGTCTTTCAATATCTGTTTTATTGGATTGCTATTAGGCTGTAGCGAACAGCATTTATGCTCGTATTCAGGAGATTCTCGAGAAGAATGAGATGGGCGAGACATGTAGCGCGCATGGATGGGACAAGAGGTGTGCACCGGGTATTGGTTGGGAAACCTGAAGGGAAGAGACCTCTGGGAGACCTAGACGTAGATGGGAGGATAATCTCAGGTATGAGTTGAAGGAAACTGGATTTTGTTGGCCCAGGACAGGGTCCGTTGGAGGGCTTTGGTTAATTCGGTGATGAACCTTCGGGTTCGGTAAGCCATCTAGTTAGTTAGTTAGTTAGTTATTCAGGAGATTCCATGTTAAAATCGGTGGTGGCAGATGGACTATCATGACCGATGTCTTTCTGTGACTTTCCTAAGAACATTCATGGAACTTTTATAATATTACTACAAATTAGGCTACAACTGCTTCCTTCAATATTTTTCATCCAGTTCATCAAATGTCATTCAACAACATTAGTCATTACTAAACTATGACGAGGAACGCGGGCTAAAGACGCTGTACTGATGCAGGTGTTCAAAACTTGATGGTGTAGTACTTTGTGCGTGCTCGGTTTCAGAGTTCCTGCATTTTCCTGGCACAAATTTGCAATTTTCAAAACTTTTTTGAATGACTACAGGGTTTGACATTTCGATATCATAATCACATTCTGCAAATATAAAGTCACTGTATACCCTGAACTTCTACTTGTCAACCCACACGGTATTTCGAAAAAAACAAAACAATTGTTTTGTGTTGACTTGGGAGATGTGACATTTCGATATCACATAGAATTTTACAAAAAAAACTAATATTATAAAATATTGTTTATAAAACTTCACTCGTAAATATCACATTTGTTTTTATGTGTTCTATAAAGTATAATAAGCTCATAACGGGAAGGCAAGACTCCAAAATTTAGTGAATTCCTACTCTTCATGAAGTAGTGTTGAGTTATGCCTCTGACTGCATCACGACACACACATGCACACGCACGCACTCCAAGACACGTCCCGCCGAGCTGCTGTTAGGGACTGGTGTGACAGATACATTTTGAGTTCATGCTTTCCGAAGGGTACCGCGTCACTCGGCACTACGCAAACAGGGTACTTGAGAATGCACAGATAAATTATTGAAACAAAGACGATAGCTCACTTCATGTTAAACGTGTTAGCCCGGCTAACACTTTCAAGAACTAAAACCAAAAAGTCTTACGTCTTAGTATCGTGGTTCAGTGGTATTCCGTACACTGGAACACAGAAGAATCGATCAGATAAAATGCATTCAGTTGAATAACGATCATAAAATGTTCGTGAAAATCTGTCCACTGGTTCAAAATCTATAGGGCTGGACAAACAAACATAAAATCACACGCTAACACATACACACACAGCGTGGTGTTCTCACAATCCTTCGTTTTCCTTATGGAAGGAAAGAAGGCTCAACAGAAAGAATTTTTCGACAAGAATATTCGTATAACACAGTATCTATACACAGAAAGTTCCTTAAGATAATAATCCGTATTATAATATGAAAATATCTTTTTGGGACATTCTGTTTTATACGTGCTATAAACGATAACATCGACCGCGCTGAGGGACAAACCTAGAAACACTGCAGCCTACAGAAAGAGCCATCCTTCTCGGGAAATCTGAAGCAAAATGTTCACACTTGCTTACACAGAGAGATAAGTCGAAACTCTAAACCCCTACGACAACATGCGGAATTATTTAGGCATCTGTTATGAATTACAGTCAGCAAAATAAGGTTAAATTAATAGCATGTTGTGAGGTGCAAAATGGCGGGTGTAGTTAATTTAGCTATTACTAAATGACTATCTAAAACAGCTAAATTTTTGTGTTCTTTTACTATTGGCGACTGACGTTACCAACTGTCTTCGTATGGAGGACATTCAAGCTGTCGAACTAAAGAATCCTATGTTTACACAAGAAGAAATAATATATAAATCATAACAGCGATTTACCACAGTAACTATACAAATAATAGGCGCAGACAGATGATAATATTAAAATGCATTTTAGAGAAATATGATGCGACGATGTGGACTGGATTCGTCTGGCTCAATATAGGATTCACTTGCGGATACGGTGATGAACCTCTGGCTTCCATAAAGACGTGGAATCAGCTCCATGAGATGATTAGTTCGTTTAATTTATCTGATTTAAAATAATTCGAACCTTAAAGGTTACAAGAGCCTGCACATGAGGAGACTGACTCTTGCATCCTGACCGTCAATTTAATTTTCGAGTCAGCTCAATTGCGTTGACCTCGCTAGCACACTGAGAACTGCTGGACAGCGTAATTATTCATTTGAACAAGATTTTCTATTTGATGTCACATAGATCGTTCCTAAAGTCGCTTAATAATGTTCTAACTCCTTTGAGGGCTGAACAATAACTGTGACTCTTCCGAAAATAAAGTTATCAGAACGCATTTGGTCCTAAAACGGCTGCAATACGAAGAAAAGTGCAAAACTGGGAATCTATTGATCTATGAAGATAACCTAGTGAAAGAAAGGAACGTTGGGTGGGCTTGGAATGCAGCTCGGATGACGGAGGCAAGAAATGTGTGGATACATGCTCGAAAGTGTCCAAGTGGAAGACAGCAAAGAAGTTGGAAAGGATAACATTAGTAAGCGTCTTGGGAAACAGGATGTGAAGATGGGAGGCGAATGGAACTAGCGAAGAATAGTGTCCAGAGACGGTCTTTGGCATTGGCGGTGCCGAACCTTCAGCGCTGTTGTCAGAAATACATAGTTCGTTAATTATTCAGCCATTTAGTTAGTTAATGACAGGGAACTGAGCATCGACTTAACACGAATTTAAATCTTAGGCCTATTAAAATAAAATATATCACGTAATAACTTAGACTTGCAGACTAAATTTTACGCAAAAAGATTAATCAACCGTTATTTTTCAAGCCATTTCCTTTCTCGGTCGAGCGGACATTCGCCTTTCTTTTAGACAAAAAGGCTCCTGTCACTGTATCTCAGTTGTAAAGATCAGTGGGTTACGTTTAGAGAAACAATCCCTGATTATTGTGAAAACCGAACGGAATACAAACACAAAATTTGGTCGAAATGAAGAGCTGCTGGACGTTAAATCAGGTGGTACTCATAATTACCACTTTGCTTTAGAGTGCTAAGTAAAAATATCAAGATCGCACGGAGATGAGATTGTGACAGCAAAGCCCTCAATATCTGCTTTACACCGTGCCCGTTACACGAATACTGACAAAATCTACGCCTTTCCGGTCGAATTCTGTTGTCACATCGGTCGACCTTTTAAAGTACTACGTACAAAGCTTCATACTCTGGCAGTAAGCACCTCTGAAACGTCGGTCAATTTCTGTTATTGTTTGATTCTTAGGATGGATGTCTTCTGGGTTGTAGCGCAGTGTAGTCTGGTAGAAATTTCCCAGCGTTTTACAGGTCCTTGCTGCCTCTATCATCAGGGTGATATTACTTGTTTGATTCCTAATTCTCTGTCTGTTCATTCTCGTCGCCCGCATGTAACGACACACACTGTATCAGTGCAAATCAGTGTGCAGTTGCGTAACCAGTCTCTTGGTGGCGTAACGAAACTAATGCGGGACGAGAAGGTCTACACGTATTTTTCATATAAGGTATTTGCTGTTTTATCTTCATTTAAAAGAGACAAAAACAGCCATAAATTCTACTAATGTCAAAGCTGAGAATAAACACGCGGAATAGTCTTATAAATAATTTTCCTACTGCAGAGTTTACACGTGAAATTTCCATCAAGTTACTACTGCAATACCAGCTTTAGATGCATGTTGATTTAAATATATACTCAAGTTTTGTTAACAGTAGAGTTTGTTCTTGTAGGGTTACGTTGTGATGGGCAGAAACTAAGTATCGATATGTTGTGTGCAGTTCTGTTAATAGCCCACATATTAAAGCTGTATGACTCCGTGATAAAAACTTTTTGAGGTGGGGAGTCAAATACAGAGAAGTACGAGTACTATGTACCGTTCATTTGCGAAAATCCTGTCTTTCGTTTGGCGGAACTCTGAAGCCGGAAGTCAGGTGGTCAGTTTTGTGTTGGTTCGTTTGATAGAAATCTGGTTTCAGTCGCCGAGGAGATTTTTTTCACATGAAATTTACTTTACAAATAAATGTTATAAATATTTTGTTTTCGGTGAGATTTACAAATATAATGCTGAAATAAACAATATCACTGCTACACACAGAAAAGGTACACTTCCGTTAAATTTGACGAATCATACTTGGTTAATTCTAATAATAGTTGGTTAAGAGTGTACATTATGAAACTTAGACCAGATAATTCAGCGTCGTTTAACACAAAAGGTCCGCCTTCCCATACCATTCTTTAAAACTTAAAAGTTGTTTCAACAGACCAACCACTGACTCATGTGAGGCATTCAACAGCCAGCATGCAAGCTTCTGACTCGCCCACATTTTAATAATTTGACGAAGCGCATCGTCTAACAGTCCAGGGCTCTCATACTGCCTCCTTTGGTTTCCTATGTGCGCTACATGCCACAGTAAATAAGCAATTTCGGTACAGTTTAAGAAACCCTGGGCGGAGAACGGGTACTTAAAAAATAGATAAAAAAGTACGTCTATGTTTTTTATATATATATTCCTTTGTAGAAAGAGTCGTACCTGAAAGAAAACACACCGTATCCCCAACATCGACCAGTCTGAAGACGTTAGGATAATTATGAGAACCAAAGCAAACCTATAAATCAGCTCTACGAGCACATCTTCAATCTAAGTCTAACGCCAAATTATTTCCCTATTTTATGGAAACAGGCAGCAGTAGTTCCTGTTCTTAAAACAGGTAACGCTGCCGCTGTTAGTAACTACCGACCCATTTCTATACCTCATACTTTTTCAAAATTATTTGAACTTGTTATTTATGATCATGTCTCACATTACGTAAAGTCCAAATTAAATACTTGTCAGCATGGTTTCACTAAATCTAAATCTACAGTTACTAATCTCGTAACCTATCTTGATTTTATTAATCCAATAGTTGGCTCCCAGGGTAAACCTGATGCTGTTTATTTTGATCTTAGAAGTGCATTTGATCTTGTCCCTCATACTTTTCTACTCAACAAGCTCAGTGCTTTTGGACTCTCTGATGGTTATGTAAACTGGTTTCGTAGTTACTTAACCAACAGACAATCCCAGATTCGTGTTTCTGGAACTCTTTCGTCTCCTTTTGTAGTCCTCTCTGGAGTTCCACAGGGAACTGTTTTGGGTCCTCTACTTTTCAACTTCTTTATTGACGACATATGCCAAGTAATTAATCATTCTAAATGCCTTCTTTTCGCTGATGATATCAAAATTTTTCGTGCCATTATATCTCCTAACGACTGCAATCAACTTCAAACTGACATTGACTCTGTACAAGGTTGGTGCACTGCGAACTTCATGAAACTCAATGTTAGTAAAACTACAGTAATTTCCTTCTCCAGGAAAACCACTACTTTTATCTCTGATTACAAACTTTTTCAGTCGTCTATAACACGTACCGACACTATTAAACGCTGTCCTTCCCTTCTGGAAGCTGTCGGTCTCCGCATCCCTGCTCGGAATCTGAGAGATTTTTCTATGTTCAGTTTTAGCCCTTTGATCAAAAACAGTCCTCCTGCTAGACGCGCATCAGCTGCTAACGTCGCCTGCAGGGACTCCGTACTAATATATTTTATATTCTGCTTGTTTTACCTTTTATGTTTTTATTGTGTTCGTGTGCTCATCTCTGTGCTGTATCTGTAATTTGCCTTCAGGCTGTTCATACAGCACACAAATAATAAAGGATTGAATTGAATTATGAAATTTAGATCGCATGAACTTTCCAGTTTTGGTGAGTGTCTTGCGAAATATTTTGCTGTTCTTATACGAATTTTGTGGTCTATGAACTGTTAATAAAGGCTGATAAGTGCAAAGTGCAAAGTTCTGACAAGCGGCACACACAGTTATCACGATCCGGAACTTCTACAGGAAAGCCTATTTCATCATCTCTGACAAGAAATAAAAGAAAAGCTGAAAATTATAACCAGCAATGGGAATGAAATCTGTTCTATCTGCTCTGAATTACAGGACAAGGCATGTTCTTTTGTAACTGCTCTACCGTACGACGGAAACATTTTACACCGATTACCATGTTCTTATCTGAGCTTGGTGGCCTTGCTGTCTTCTTTCGAACACTGGAGTCGAGGGATCGAATCCCGTACAGTTGCCAGTGTTTTTGCGTTGTCCTTCGACAGCAGAGGACTTTCAATGTTCTGATCCCCCATCCTACCAAAGCTTCCGCTTGTCCTATGAACAATTTAAACCCACTACAGTAGCGACGACACCGGCCTGAATCTCGCTTCACAACCAAAGGACAGGCGTAAATGCATTTTAAATACACACATGTGTACAGTTTTTTTGTTTCAGTCTTAACAGCGCGTAGTCCTTATCAACAGATAACTAACTAACTAGATGGCTTACTGAACCCGAAGGTTCATCACCGAATTAACCAAAGCCCTCCACCGGACCCTGTCCTGGGCCAACAAAATCCAGTTTCCTTCAACTCCTATCTCCCATAGATCCCGCCTGACATTATCCTGCCATCTACGTCTAGGTCTCCCCAGCGGTCTCTTCCCTTCAGGTTTCCCAACCAGTAGCCGGTGCACACCTCTTGTCCCATCCATGCGCGCTACATGCCCCACCCATATCATTCTTCTTGAATTAATAACCCTGATAACAGTTTTCTCCATGTCCCATCGTCTTCCCTCTTAGGCCCAAATATCCTCCTCAACCCCCTGTTCTCAAACACCTGCAATCTGTGTTCCTCCCTCTGAGTGAGAAACCATGTTTCGCACCCATACAAAACAACAGGCAAAATTATTGTTTTGTATACTTTAATTTTCAGGTTCTTAGAAATCAGACAGGAAGACAAAATATTTTGAACTGAGAAGTAACAAGCATTTCCGGAATTTCGTATCCTCCTAACTTCCTCATGAGCATCATTTTTCTTTGTTATTGTTGTTCCCATGTATTTGAACTTTGTAACACTTTCAAAGGATTTATTAGCCACCCTAAGATAATTCTGCTCGCCTGTCTGCTGACGACGAGATACTAACATGTACTCAGTTTTTTCTGAATCCTTATCAACAGATAAGAGACATTATGTCTTGACTGACCGAGACGGGAATAAGATGATCAGAAGGGGTCAACTGCCTTAGAAAATAATGTTATGGTTAACATTCTACGTTAAAATTCTTGAAATATTAAACAGCAGAAACCTAACTTTTCAGTCAACGAAATTCCTGCAGATTATGAAACATGTAACACTGAAGGCTTACATTAGAGCAACTGTAGTAAACCCCCTGTTTTACTTCAAAATATGCACTTACAACTAATAGCCTACAATTATCCAGAAAAATGAAGGTATGTCACAAAGAGTATCATTAATAGATTCTAGAAACAGAGCAATGTTCCCACGCTTTGAATAAAACACAGTCTACTTCATACTGCACCATTTTGTTTTGGAGAATACCAATCAGTCACGTTATCACGATTTCGAGGATATCGATACAATTCCTTACTCTAGTCCTTTCAGGAATTACACTGTATCAACTACACAACCCTTCTGCCGCCTCCAAATTCACTCTCCTCTTACTGGCATGAGATGGACGAAGCAAGTAGCATGCACAGAATAAATACATTTTGGTTCAATAATCTAATAAATTTTGAAACCTAATCTGAGATATACGGATCTTAGACAAAATTAAAATCAGTTACAAACTTTCCGATTCTAAAAGATGTTAATACAGACAGGGAAGTTCTTGACAAGCTGACCTACTATCAAGTTATCGTTTCAGGACGCACGTGCTGCTCTTCTATGCCATATATTGGCTACTGTGCCTATCAGCAGTAAGCCAGCCAATGGATTCTGCAACGATGACTTTCATCGGCGACATTTCGAAGGCGTCTCCACCGGCCGTCGTAGGCGCTTTTGTCTGCTGCAAGTCCGGTAAACTCGCAGACTGTATTATGGACTTCTTCGAAGTTGAAAGAGACATCAAGCGGTTTGCAACTTAAATATTAAGAAAATGAAAAAGAGTAATGTTTTATAAGCACAAGGAATTAGAATGCAAATACAAACTACACCTCAGAGACTCAAAAACCAGAGTTCAAACTCCGAACCGAAAAAAGCCTTTTGTTACGTTTTCTTTGAGGTAGAAACCGAATCTTTAAATGTTATTTAGATGAGCGTCTCGTCGCTCTACCTTCTCAATTTCGGGACGCCTTACATTGTTTCCAACCTACTTTTACCAGAAACACGATCAGGTACTACTTGGGAAAATTCACTGTTCAAATATTAGCTTTGTTTCCCCCCCTTAAATTTGTTGTTTGGACTTCAAAAAGGCAACAAAACTATGAAGTCGGCAGCTATATTTCTTAAGAACAAAATTCGAGTTTCACACTCGATAGAAGCATTTGAACTCTTTCTTTACCAGTGTGTCCACTATAATAACTACTACCAACCAGCAAAAGGAAAGACGACCGGAGCTTCATGCTGACCACACTTTCATCATGTTAGACACAAAAGAAGCGTTATCTTTGCCTTACCTAAATTTCCTTACAAACAACTGACCTGATTAAAATGGTTAAAAATGCTCAATAATTTTTACAATTTATTCCAGGCGATATTTTAAGACTTTGGCGCCATCTGTCGGATCAGCACGTGTTACTTACAACTCAAACGACGATCCAAGGTGCCGAGACTCTGCTCCAAACAACAGAGAGGGACAGACAAATGACATTCATCGTGGACATGGCCTGCCAGGACTCACGCGCCATACTCCATAAGGTGACACTAAGGCCGATGTTTTAATCGTTTACTTTGAAGTGGCTGGCGGTTCAGAAACCAACGATTGTAAGCACACGCTAGTACGCTTATTACAAAGAAACAGGAGGGATTTGAACTCACTAATTTCTCGTGGTTTGCAGGCTCATGTACTGAATTTATTCGATGAACGGAGGCGGTGGATATTGCTAGGGAACCAAACACGAACCCAGGACGTGCTTGAGGACCTCAACATTTTGCTGTACAGCGACGTGGTGGTGGCAGAGCGCGTGTCTGACGGAACAGTCCTCTTAGTGGAGATGTACAAACGGAGATCCTACGAAACACTCATAAAGACAGTTATCGGTGACTGGAGCCAGGGGCGTGGCGTTCGGCTGACCTCCTCACCCGTAAAGTTTTCTAGAAGAGCAGATCTCCAAAAGTCTGTCTTACAGGCTGTCATGGTGGTAAGACACATAAATGATTCTTACTTAAGACCTATAAACGAAGTAACAGGACCATAGTCTTTCGTAAATTTCAAACTAATTATAAATTTTCGCGGACAAAGTTTTGGACATCATCACGCTGAGACTAGCAGTTTCGTTGCCAAATGGAGAACAGAATTCAATATGAATTCTTCTCCAACTGTGCACATAACAGAGGTTCAATCTACATGTAGACTACTCTACCCGAAATTTGTCTTTACTAATTTCACCAACATGGCCGCCACATTTTTGTCCGATAGTTACAGTTAAATAAACGATACCGATGTTGTTGGCAGGTGACGAACAACAACAGTTTACTCCACCTGAAGGACACCACCGACAGACACATTGACACAATCAGCAAACTGAACTACGCGATATTCTGCCACGTAGCAGACATCGTCAATGCAAGGTACTCTTGATGTCTTCAACGGCCTGCATTTCTCACCTACCCCGTGTATTTATCATCCTAACAACAGTCAACAGATGAAAAGCATGAAACTCCTCGTCACGTACTTTCTCAAATTCCATGTCAGGTCCAAATATCATCCTCATTCCAGTGCTGCGAAATTCCGTTCTTCTGCTTTGACACAACGGCCCGGAGGAATCACAGCCTCTTCTGAAGTAGCATTTATGGAAACAAAACAGCAAAATTCGAGGTTTTCACGGCGGTAAGTCTGAAGATGGCGATCGCCCTGATGATGGAGGCAGCTAGGACCTCTGAAACGTCGCTAAACTTCTACCAGACTACACGGCGCAACAACCCAGAAGGCAGCCATCTTTAAACAAGGATTATTTTCTTTGACATCATTAACAAAATAATCTCTGTTATAGTGAAGTACGGTGTTTTCTTAGCGGTACGGACTGAATCATAAAATACTCAGGCGAGCTTCGACTTTTAATGGTTAAATTATAAAATTCAATTACTATTTAAATACGTAACTACGCAGGTCTACTTCTAACCCAAAATTACATTTGCCCTCCAACTTTAGCTACCGGTCCTCAAAACAATATTTAACATAAATTCGTCGATTAATTTAAGAGACGAATCACGTTCCTTTTAAGCGCTAAAAAATCCAAGTGTTTTACAGCTCCAAACACGGATGTCACGCCACAGTCCTTCGACATCTCAATGTAGGCCTAATGGCTGCATCCCCATTACTCGGTAACGCAGGGCTTCGTTGGCATCATGGCTGCAGTGATATGAACCTTTGTGTACCAAACGATTATTTTAATTACCCTTTTATGAGGATTGAAGATCATGGCGACGGAACAGCAGCTCCTGCCATCTAGTGGCAAAACTCTATATTATTATAACTGGGCACTTGCACCATCAGGGTATTTGCATTGCAAAAGAAATTTATAATTAGTAATTTTAAGTACCATTAGAATATTAAGGATCAAGCCAAACGGTTTCCTTGTGACAGAGTTGAAATGACGGTCGTCGGCACGTGGGGCTATGACGTGAACGGCTCGTGGACTGGACTTTCAGGATATTTGCAGCGAGGGGACGCCGATATCGGGGCCACTGCGTTGTTCGTCACCAAAAATCGACTTCCGTTCATGACCTATATCGCGGGAACCACAGATAGTGAGTGAGTTGACTAATTCCTTGGAGCAGATACCGTTTTTTTACAAAGGTACAGTCACTCAGCTATTCAAGAAATTCCATGCGTTTATGAAACCCGAAAATTCATTACTGTATTCGTAACATCCTATCACTGGATCCTATCCTAAGACAGATCAATCCAGTTAACATTCTCAAACACTTTTAAGATCCATTTTAATATTATCTTCTCGCTTAAGACTACGTCTTCCAAATTGTATCTTCCCTTCAAATTTACAGACTATAATTCAGTATGCATTTCTCACCATCTCATCCTCTTGATCCTAATTACCCAAACAAGATTTATTGTAGTCCTATAGAACATTATAACGTTCCTCATTATGCAATTTTCTTCATCCTATTGTTACTTACTTCTTGAGAAGTTAATAGCCAATAAACTCCCGCCTTTCCTGTGAACAAACGATTCATGGCGATATTCAGAAAAACCCACCACCGGTCCATATCCTGGACCAGAAAATCTAATCCACAGCCCCTAACCCTCCTCTCGCTTAGTTAAAATGTTCTTAGCACCCCATTATAAAACGATCTCAACCAAACACAGGCAGAAGTACAAACATAGCATAATAATACAGCGCAGACGCAAATAGAGGATATCCCCGCATCTCCGTCGGTCCAGCTATGTATTAATCGAAAAGAGTTTTAAACTTGCAGATCCGGGTTCCTGTTCCGACAGCCACCGTTATCCTTCGTGGCCAACATCTTCACTTTGCCGTTCAGTCGTAATGTGTGGCTGACCAGTGTTGGCTTTATCACCGTCGCGGGCTTTCTGCTGCATGGAACGATCAACTGGGAGAACAGACAAGTCACCTGGAGCGACATGGTACTGTTTGCAGTGGGCGCTGTGTGCCAACAGGGTAAGCGGGTCCTGTGTAAGCTCACATTTGGAAAACAATGGGCCAACTTCAATAAAAAAAGTCAATTTAACCAGCAGCCCTACGTCCACATTTTATATCGTCTTTTTTACTGTCGTGGTGAAGCAGTGAGACATACGTAGCCTTATCTCCATATGTTTAACGCTTTGGCATTTACTTGTGAAGGAAATATTTGAACTTACAAGTAACTATGACAGTTACTAAGCTACAAACGGGCAATAATTTGAAAAAACTTCCTACCTTTAGGCTCGACGATGGAAGCAAAAGGACTTTCCGGCCGCATCATCACCATATTCCTCTTTACGACGGAAGCAAAAGGACTTCCCGGCCGCATCATCACCATATTCCTCTTCGTGGCGGTGATTTTTCTGTACACTTCATACTCTGCCAGTATCGTAGTTCTACTCCAGTCCTCCACGACCTCCATACGAACCTTGCATGACTTGCTCGATAGCGACCTCAGCCTGGGTGCCCACGACATAGTCTACAACAGATATTATTTCAAGGTACAGAACACTTCAATTGCCTAGCTTGGAGGAAATGTTGTTAATTCAGGGAACGTTTTGGTTTCAATTTGTTTACTGTATAGACTAGTGAAGCCAACCGATGTCCAATAACATTAGGCAATGCGACCCCTGGTGAAGACCGACAGAGGGGAAACAGAAGTACTCGAAAAAACATACCCTAATGACACTTGGCACGGAACGTCCTGGGATTTATCCAGGACCTGGCTGTGACACGGCTGCGATTGACCTGAAGGGTCACTACCACAGCCTGCCACTAAGCATCGCCCATTCTACCGACCTATGTCCCTACGTTCCTTTTTAATATCATCCTCGCAACTCCTTGTTATTTCAACGAGTGGATTTCTAGCCCAATCTCAGCCTCTTTCATAACAACTCTAGCTAACCCGCATTCCGGCCGGATACATCGGGGACTGATTATTTTCTATAAACTGTCGCGGACAGCTGACAAATGGTTGGCATTAACTCCTGCTTACAAGAACACAAAATCTACTTTCATCAAAATTCTTAAAAACGGCACAAACCCTCAACGAGATCTACAAGCTTTGCGTGATTGTTCATGTCAAGTAACTCTTGTTCCAGGCAGTAAGCGATCCGATACGGCATGCCATTTATACCCGGAAGGTAAACCCCCCAGCGGGACCAGAGAATTTCCTGCCCCTTGAAGATGGCATCAAGAGGATAAGGACAAGTCGGTTTGCCTTCCACATGGAGCTGGGACCGGGCTACAAATATATCTGGGACACTTTTCTCGAGGAGGACAAATGCAACCTGCAGAGAATCACATTTCTTACGGAGATTCCCAAACCATTCGTGGCAGTGAGCAAGAAGACGCCCTTCAAGGAAATACTCACAATCGGGTATGTCCCATATGATACAGCCCATTCTCGAGTCATGGCAGTGTCATTATTACATCTGGTGTAAAGAAACGCCACTATCATCTTTTAGTTTAGGTTTAATTTTAGTTTTCACGATTTAATTTATCGGGTATTGGTAATAACAAGTCTAATGTATTACCCCTCATTCAGCTACCGAAAGGTGCACGAACGGGGGCTGCAACAACGCGAAAACCTGCGGTTCTACCACGCAAAACCTGAGTGTGCAAGTCGCGGAAGTAATTTTGTGAGTGTGGGCATCGTGGACTGCTACTCTGCGCTGCTGGTGCTGGTGTACGGGATGCTTCTGTCACTAGTGCTCCTTCTGGCAGAGATAGTGGTAAGGTCAGCAGCCTACTAATCGACTCTCTGGTAACAAACAACCCATCGTGATGTCATAAATTTCACTGCGCTGCCTGCAAATTACGACACCGATGTATCTCAGACCGCCATAATTATCTGGTTCTATTCGGATGAAATACCAGCAGAGTCTGGTTTTATCTCCATAGATCGGAGGTTCCCAAAGTGTGGGGGGGAGTGGTTTTCTTGGGGGGCGTGTTGTTTGTATGAAAAACTTTTTTTAACGAAATATGGAGAAACATTTTTAACATCCTTTGCTTGGTTTAGTTGTCTTACAGTGCTGTAGAATTCAGAATCGTAGACCATCCGCGGTTTTAGGAAGTAAACGGCGATATAAATCTACGTACAGTTATAGACGCATCCCACTAACCCAGGTATGAAGCGTATATTTTATTACAGCTTTTTAAATAAATGCATTGAATAATATATACTAAATTATAAAAAAAAAATGTATACTCATAGCTAAATTTTATGAAAAATCTGTTTGCTTGCACTTGTTCTGGAAGGGGGCGTGAAATTTATGATATGTTTTAAGGAGGGCGCAAGATGTAAAAGTTTGGGAACCTCTGCCATAGACTGATAGTCGTGCAAATAGTTAAACCAGCAGTTCAATTACCGCGCTCACAATAACCCGCCAGTAGACCAGATCCTGTACTGTGTCAGATGAATCCAATCCAAATCCTATTTGTTTAATGTGCATTGTCATATTATTTTTCGTTTACTCTTAGTCTTCATCTTCAGGGTTAAAGATAGAGGCAGTATGTTCCTTCAAAACTCTAGTTACCTACCTACAAGACCACATTGTGTAACAACTCGTAAGAATTCTCTCAACTGGTCTCTGATTTCAAGGTTATCCTAATAAAATTTTGTATACGTTTATCCTTTCTTCCATACATGCTATACTATCCCGCTCATCACTCAAACAACATTTCAAAAATAAAAATTATAACGCTTCTCTCTCTTATGTCAGAAGAAAACTAAATAATTTGTTATGGTTATAATTTCAGGCAAACAAGAGATGCAGGAAACTCGCTCAGTAGAGCACAACGTAACTTTTACAGCAACTAACATGAGGTTCTATATTTCCTGTATGTTCGTAAACCAAAACACAGTAGCGCACATCTACGAGATGAGCTATGCGTTTGTGGAGATAAATAATACAAATGGAGGCCGATAGTCAGCAAAAATGCAAGCATTATGATGCTTTCGCATGTTTAGAATCTAATTACAATGATTGTAGACGACACTAAAGTAAATAAAACCGACAAACAAACTCTCCACGTCATCTCGTGTCGCCACATACTCACAATGCAGCTTCGTTATTTACAAAGGCATAATGGTGTGTACTGAACTAGTGACCCCTCCTCAAAATTGATGTGAATCAACTTCGGTTTCGATTTCCGTGATACGACAGCGTATAACTAGTCGAACCTCCCAGATAACACGGAATTTCTGTGGTACAATTCAGTCTGTCTAGCGTACCAAAAACTGGAGTCACGTACAATTAAATGAGACCTGAGAGAACAATCGGCTAGTGTGGTTGAGAAAAAACACGGCTGGGACAGGCGAGAAAGTGGTCGTAGCCTATTTTAGACACTTTTCAAGCCCTCTGAGGCAGGAAAGCCGCACTGCGACTAGATTCGACTACTCTTCACTGCAGTGTCGTGGCCAACATGTCTCGCCTCACTGTGATCATGCTTTGCTTCGCAACCGGCAGTCAAGCCAGAGACTTCTTAACGATGGCTTTCATCGGCGCGGCCTTGCGCTTCCGGACTCCTGCGGCCCCCGTCAGCGCGTTCATATGTTGGGAGACAGGTAACTCGTCGGCGCCAAGGCGCTTCAGAGAAGAGACCGTACAGAGTCTGATCAAGGAATTCACCGCCCCTTATCGTTGATATCAGCAGTCCACCATTGGACCCTATCCTGAGTTGGTTTAATCCAGTTCACATCCTCACACCCTATGACTTTATTATCCATTTGAAAGTAATCCCCCCTCTACACTTAGATCTCCCCATAGTCTCGCATATGAAGTTTTCTAAGTAAAATGTTTCTGAAAATTTGCATTTGCCATCTCGCCTATGAGTGCTACATATACCAGAAATGTTACCCTTCTTTATCTGATCACCCTAAAAATATTT